CAAGGCAGTCTCACCTCCCAGCATTTTGGCAACCCCTCGGTGGGGGTGGCTTGAAGAAGGGAGCCGCAGGAAGGCCTGGCAGAAGGAAGTGTTCTGGTTTCTGAGTATAAATAAACGATTGTTCTATATCCTTATATTAAGAGCAGGGCACAGCAAGCCTTTGTCAGTCTAAGCATGTTGAGCTGCAGCTTCTCTGTGTTTTGCCAATTGGTAAAATGTGTTTTCAGCTCAAGGAAATAAACAGAAGCCCACTCTGCCCAGCCGCACCCCCAGACCTGGATGGGGGAAGGACATGTGACCTCAGCCAGGCCTGAAGAGAGTAGGTGTCAGTGGGTGCTGAAGCAGGGAGAGATACCTGTGGGTCTCCAGACTGTGAGAACATCAGCAGGACTCTACCTCGCTAAGCCTCAGTCTACACAGCTGAAGACAGGCCTCTCGCAGTGCCCTGTCCATTTTACAACGGGAGGAATGCGGCCATGAAAGCACTTTGGACTCATGAACACTGGTATTGTTACTATTTTTTTTAAATACTTATTTACTTATCCATACAAGAGCTGGGGTGGAGGCCAGAGGTGCAGGGGGTGAGCGGATTCACCAGAGACAGAGTGGGGAGCAGAACAGGCAGATCTAGTGAAATACACTGCTGAGGGGAGCAGCAGAGGAGACAGGAGAGGTTTGCTGCGCCATGGGGGTCACCTCCCTGGCCGCGGGTCGAACTCGTGCTGCAGTGGCTGCGGATTGCTTCACAGTGCTGCAGTTCACCCCCTTGCACTACCAGGGAGGCCCCTGTTACTATTTTAAAGATGATTCATGTTAAGAGCAGGAAGAGCCCCCGGCACCATTTGCCTCTCTCTGGCTCTGCACCCAGCTGCTCCCCTCTCACCCCATAAGCTCCCCTCTCTCACTGGGCTCTCATCTCTCCTCCGAGCCTACCTCCCAGCCCTTGGCTTTGCCTCCTCTTGCCCAGCAAACCAAGAAAACTTTGAAAAGTTTGATCAGAGATGATGAACATAATTTCCCCTCTTTTTTAAGAATAAAGTCCAGACTAGGCCAAGCTGACCCTGGTGCCCTTCACCTCTCTTCTCCCTCCCTTCTCTCCAGCCACACCAAGGCCACCTTCCTAGTTCTTGTGTTCGCTAAACTTGTTTCCTCCTTCGGCCCTTTGCACATGCTGTTCCCTCTGCCTGGAATGCTCTTCCCATCAGGCCTTCACCTGGTCGCCTCTCTCTCTCACCACTGGTGTTAGCCCAAAGGTGACCTTGACAGGTCCCAGACACCCCCACTGCCATCACTCAACTGCTTCACCTGTTTCACTGATGACTAGCGTTACCTTTAAACTTTTAATTAAAAGGTTAATTAATTAACCTGTTTCTTTTACGTGCCTCCTCTAGAATGTACCCTCCTTGAGGATAGAGACTTGATCTGCAGTGTTCATCATTGTATTCCCAGTTCCTTACTTAATATATATTATGTAAGGTAGAAGAGAGAATAATAAGTTACTAAAATAACAGTGTAAATCAGGGCCGCAGAAGTTAGTCCTATAGTAGAGGGCAGGTAGCAGTGCACAGCCTGCGCAGCAGTACACGGCAGCTCCAGAGTAAAAGCCATCATCCATCTCCCGCTTGGTTCTGCAGGATTCGTAATGAGCTTTAAATTGTTCCCGTGAAAAGGGATGGAGAAGTGAATGCATGCTTACACACAAAAAGCAAATGATGACGGAACCCCATTTTTGAATCAGAGAAGCTTGTAATCTAGGGGGCAGACAGACATCTCTGCAGATGCTACCCCAGTCTCTCTCTTGAGCACCCCTCTGTCTTGTGTCCAGACCAGTCCTGTGTGGGAACTTCTGCGGGGACTTCTTTCCTCCAGCATGACCTAGTCTGCCTCTGCCGGCTGTCACGCGAGCTTATCTCTGCTATTTCCTCTGGAAACCTTTCCTGACTTCCCACTGGCACCCCCAAACTCCAGCCCACCTGGGCCCCACAGACCCTGACACCCCCCCCCCAGTTGACCCAGCCTCTCCCTTAGGGTACTGCAGTGGAGAGATAAGTAGGTTCCGAGTGCCCAGGGTTGGCTGAGTTACTCCTGGCACAACTGTGGGCTGTGTCTTCATGCCTAGCACAGTACGGACACCTGGCAGGTGTGTGAAAGTGCGGGGAAGCTCAAGGGGGAAACTATGAGAGCAGGGGTGGGCTCAACTGCCGCCCCCCCCCCCACGAACTCCTCCACCTGGACATTAACCTCTAGAGTCCAGGGTGCTCATTAGAACCTCCCTTGGGTGCTGCATGAGGCAAGCCCCAAATCTACCCCCCACCCAGCCGCCTGCTTTTGGCTGCTGCCCCCACCAGGGGTCCAGGACAGCCTGGAAGATGGGGAGACATACCCCAGCCCCCCTGGCCTCTCCCTTCTGTCCCAACCCCTGTCTTTTCTTTCTTTTCCTTCTGTTTTGCTTCACACTCAGTCCCCTCCCCCAGCCCAGAGAACGCAAACTGAAAAGGCCCACACTGGCGGCAGCAGCGTCAACAGTGAAAAATAACCAATTTAAGGAGTAATCGCTGCTGTAATGATTGTCTACGCCCTGAGTCACTGCAGAAAATCAGGCTGAGGCTCTGAGACTCCCAGGCTCCCTGAGTTGTGCCGCCTGGGTTGTTTTAATACCCAGGAACTCCGTGTCCCCACCTGGAAAGTAAAGAGATTAGTACCAGCCCGAAGGACCTGGCAGCGTGCTGCCTTACGCCAGGACTCTCCCTGGGCTGCAAATGTGACAGGAGCTAAGGTAGCACACAGCCAGGTGGGGGATCATCCTCGATGGTGCCTGAGCCTGGTGGGGAGTGGGGTGGGGTGGGAGGGGCGTGGGAGGGATGATGCAATATGGCAGGGAGAAGAGAATCACAGCTTAGGGGGCCTTGGGAAAGACTTAGCTGAGCAGGAAGGGTGAACGGGAGCTGTGGGAAGTGATGGAGTGATGGAAAGACAGGCCAGGAAGGGGCAAGAGATGGCATCTGGCGTTTCATCAATTTACAGATGGGGAAACTGAGGCCCAGGAGGGAATTGATGAAAGCCACCTACCCACTGGGGGTGGAGCCCATATTTGAAAGCAGGTGCCTTGACTCCTGTTCCAGTGCTCACTCTTTGTTGGCAAAAAGCTCACAGTGACAGTGAGGACAGTGGGGGTGTTCACTGCGGTCAGCTCTGCTCAGTGCCACCTGTGTGATATTTCCTCTCATCTTTGGATAGTCCTGTAAGGTAGGGTTAGAATACAGGCCCTGTTTTACCTTAATAAAGTTCAGAGAGGTTAAACGGCTTCTTCAGAGGCGCACAGCATGGCCTTCTGAACCTCTGCAGTCACTCTGGGCTTCTCTGTTCTCCAACACCAACACATCAGTGGCCAAGGCGTAAGAGCATCTCTGGGCTGGCTGCCTGGGTGGGCTGGCCTTCTGTGGGGTCTCTTCTCTAAAGAGGGTTAGGGAGGTGCCCCTTGTCCAGAAGGATAGGGAGGGAGCCTGGACTTTCCCGTCAGTGCCCACAGGAAGAGGAGCCAGCTGGTCAAAGAGAGGCATACATTTGAAGTCCCACAATGAGAGTCTGCCTTGCCAGGGCCCTGCCAACATGCCAGCCGCCCCTGGTGAGTGCATTCCAGCTTCGGGGGAGGAAATTGGGGAAACTGTTAGAGGGGAGGGCAATGAGAGAACAGCTCTCAGTGGCCAACCAGTCCCTCACCCAGACCCCACACTAGAGGGGAACTCAGGGGACACCTAACTATCTCTTAGCAAGTGGGGATTTAGCCCTGGGCACCCCAGAAGCAGGACCACCCATAACATGAGGGGAGATGTTTTAAATGAATTTTAAAAATGTTTAAAAGTTACTGTTGGCATCATGGAATTTCCTTATAGTGCTTGGAGAGCTTAGTGTTGTTTTTATTTAAGATTGTCTTGGGGATGAAGGGAGACACCACTATTTATGCAGGATTTGGGGTCTTTAAGTGTGATAAGTGGGAGAGCGAGGGGTGTCTAAGCGTCATGCCCTCTCTCCCTAGGGGACACAGCAGGGGCTGCTAACACAAGCTTTTCTCTAAGGGGCCAGGAGTGTCCCTTGGCAGCTTGATCTGACCAAGCTTTGCTGTGGGAAATTTGCTTTGTGAAATTGTGTACTTTTGGGGACCTCAACATCTTCGTCTGTGAAATGGGGCTAATTAATTCCATCCTGCCTATGTCTCAGGTCTTTTGGCTTCCATTCAGGCTAGAAATAAACAGAGAGGACAGCTGGGATGGAGCACCTATGAGATCTGAAAAGTCCCTACAATCTTATCCAAAATGCAGACACACGGGCCCTCCCCAGGCGCCCCGGAGTCAGGCCCAGGGATATGCGTTTCTCTCCACCCTCCCCTCAAGGGATGCTGATGCTCACGCAGCCTGAGGGCCACAGCATGGTGGCGAGCACCCACCAGCAGCCAGAGATTTGGGTTCCCACTTGGCGTCTCCTCTGAAGAGCTGTGTGGCCTCAGGCAGTTGGTCAGGACCTTCTGTGTGGACCCTGGGAACTGGCCCTGTGGCATCCGAGGGCATAGCCCTCATGGTGCCTTTCTGAATGGTCTGGGTAGAGCTGGCTAGACCATGGCGGGAGGGGAGAGGCCAGGCCTGGCAACAGAGGCTCTGTGAGGTAGGGGCTCAGGACTTGGAATCTGGCCCTGACCACTTCTCTAAGAGCAGGGCAGACCCACCTCCCCCGGCTTCCAGCTGGGCCTCCAGGCTCGGGAACCCTGGGGGAGGAGTGGCAGGTGGGCCATCTGCTCAGGCCTGGGCTGGGGGAGGAGGGGAGACACAGGCCAGCGAGCACTGAATGGCCTCTCTGTTGGGACCCAGCCTGAGGAACAGATGGCCTGGGCGGCTGGCGGGTGAGGGGGCGGACAGAGGCCAGGCCTGCCCCTTCCCTTCTGCCAAATCACAAAGTTCTGTCTTCCTGAGAGAGGAGGCCCTGTCAGCCACTCACAGACAACAGCCAGGAAGAAGAGGGTTTAAGGGGGATTAGTGGGGCCCAACAACACGCTGTCTGGAGACACCTGCAGCCTTAGCTAGTGCAGAATGGGGGCGCCCCTCCCCTCCCCGCCCCGGGGAGGGAAGGGCCGTGGGGCCACATCAGGCCCTGGGAGCTTAAGTTCACTTGAGCCAAGCTTCTCCCACTAGTTTTACCAATGGGAAAACTGAGTCCCGGGAAGGAGCAGGGACCTCACTCCTCAACCCCAAGTCAGTGACAGAACTGGGAGTAGGATCCAGTGTCCTGACTCCTGGCTGGCAGCTCTTCCTGTCACACTTACACATCCTCTAACACGCAATCGAGTCCCCATTCTGGAAACCGGTCAGCCTATCCTGGGAATGTTCGAATGGGTGGCCTAGAGGCTGTTGGCTGTGGGTCCTCCAGGTGGATCCTTTGTTGTAAAGAAGTCACTGAGACACCAAGAAGGTAAGGAAGCCTGGACACGTCCCACCACCTGCCCTGGCCTTTCTCCTGTGCTGCTTTGTCCTTAAAAGAATGTTGAAAGGGACTTCACGTCACACGTCACAGAGGCTTTCAAGGAATCTGGTAAAACAAGGGTCCTTTGGGGTCGCTTTCTGGAAAGAAGATATTTTCTCCTCTCTCTAGGGTTTCACAGAGTGTCAGATTTCTTTCCTTTTCAGAGGCACTGAGCCTAAGCCAGGATGGTGCCAGCCTGAGGCTGTGGCTGTCTCCTGTGCCAGCTAATCCTGGTTTCTGCCTACTCCTGAGCTGAGGGCTGGAGAGGTATGCAGGGATGGGGGAGGGCGGGTGGGAAAGGAGGGAGAGAGGGAAGAGGGAAGAGTAGAAGGGAAGAGGGAAGAGCAGAGGTGGGGTGGGGGTACCTCATACTCTGGACCCCGGTGTGGACTCCATCATTTACTGCCTGGGTGAGTTTGGGCCAGTCCCTGAGCCTCCTCCGTCTCCCGGACCAGACTGGAGATACCCCAGGAGGGACCCAGGGTGTGGCACAAGCTCCAGTGCCTCAGCCCTGCCCCCCACAGAGCCCCAGCTCAACTGCACACACCCCTGAAAACTCAGTCCACCTAGTCAAGAAACCCCAACTATTTCTTCACCTGGGTCCTGGCAGGCTTCCATCCTGCTTTGCTGTGTGTCTTCAGATGTGACCCTATCCCTCTCCGACACTCAGCATTCTCAGCCCTCAAAGGAGGGGAGTGGACACCTTGTTCTCCATGGCCTTCTCCACCCCTGAATAAGCATTCCGGGCTTTCTCTGAACCCCTTGAGCCTGAATGGTGTAAGGGATCCTGGAAAGCTGGGAGGCCAGTGGGGAGGGAGGCTGGTTCCCCAGATCCAGTAGCTTCTAGATGTGGCCAAGACACAGTCCAAGAAAACACCTGTAGATCATCTCAGATCTGATTCACTCATTTAATTTATTGGGCACCTGTGATTGCCAGGGACCACCCTGGGCTCTGGGCACATAGCAGTGAAAGCTGACAATGTGGGGTCTTCCTGGTGGTCCCCCAAACTTCTCATCTAGTGGAAAAGACAACCAACAGAGCCCACAAGCAGATTTACACCATGACAAAATGGGATTGGTGCTTTAAAGATTATAAAAAGAAAAAAAGTTTTATTTTTTTCCTAAAACCCATGAGATGCAAGACTTGATCAAATCCACATCCCCAGACCTTTGTAAGCTCCTGCTGGCTGCTGCTTGCAGTAGACATCGGTTAGGAAGCAAGGGGTGGGGGGGGCAGGAAGTGGCTAAACGCAGAGGTCTCCCAAATGGGGTACAAGGTCAACGACAGGAAAGGAATATTAAAAGTTGTTATTTCAATGGTGTCCAAAAAGGGAAGAGAAAGAAGTTTACGGGCAAGTATAGATGGACGCTGATGGCTATATTTGACGCTATGGCCGAGGGCACAAGAAAGTGGGCATGGACTGAAACCATGGGCCCACAGAGCCTGGCCGTGGGACCTTTTGCTTTTATTATTTTGAAGACCTTTTCTCTTTACATGAGACCAGTTCAGCAGATTTATAGATTGCACCACCCCTCAACTGATTTTTAAGAAGAAGAGGAAAGAGTCGGGAAGAGGCGGCAAATATCACATGAGCATCTGAGTTCAGAGGGAGGCCGGCGTGGGCGCCTGTGTGTCCACTGTGCTCAGCCACAGGGGAAACAGAAACAGTGACAATCTGGGGCGGGTCCAAGAAAATGACCCCCAAATTTGAAAGGTGAGCAAGAAGACAAATGGTGATCAGAATTTATGTCCACTCTTAGGACGAATGAGCTGAACTATCCGTATAGATTTTGCTTCGAGATCATGGCTAATGAGGACAGAAGTCCATCCCTAATTATTAAAGCATTTGAAACGATCATTTCCTTTTAATCCAATTTCATTTTTAATTTATATTCTTGTTCATATTTGATAACTCATGTTAACACCGTCATGCTGATTATTATTTGTAAATGAATCAACATATTCACGTGTTTATTGAGCATAGGTTGAATAACTATATGTATTTTGCTGTTTTAAGGGCATGAACACGTGGGCGGAGCCCCCTGGCTGTGATGTGACGAGTCAGGCCGGCCGCTGGCATGGGCAGTGCTGATTTCCTGCCGAAACTGTCTAGATGGTGCCTCCAGGCCCAGCCTGTGGGGGTGAGGGGAGCCCCTTTTGGGAATCCTCAGGTTCCCACCAGCATCCAGGCAGCCGTCTAGCTCCCTCCAAGACAGCAGCTGGGAGAAACACTTCCCCCAGCCCAGGCTCTTGTCTGGAGAGGTTTTTTTTTAAATTCCCCAAATGAAACAGAAGTTCATTCCCTTAAAGGGTAAACGGCAGATCCTGGCAAGGCTTTCCGATTATTTATTCACTGGCCGGTTACAGAAGAGAACATACATCCTGGCTGGAGGAGATGGTGTTTCTGGTGCCCGCACAGGGGAAGGAGCCCTGGTAGTCTGCCAGCTATTACTACCTTTCTACCAAAGGCTTGCTTTTCTGGCCTGTCCTGATCGTGCACATCCTTCCTGAGTATCTATTTCTCTTCACAGCCTCCTAGAAAGGCGCTGAGATGCCAGCTGTGTGGATTGAGGCCAGCGTGGCAGGGCCTGGGACCTATGTGATCCCAATGCCTACCCACCAAGCCCAGCATCAGACTGGCAGCCCCTCCTTGGGGAGGAAGTCTTTCTGGCTTTGGGGTTTAAGATCCCCTGCAGGTACAGCGATGCTGCTCCATCCACCCTGCCCCCCACACCCCCAGCCACGCTGGGAGGAAGATGAGTCAGAAGCCTGCAGCAGGGTTGGGCAAGGCCTCTGGCCTCAGGCAGCTCAAGACCCTCTGGTCAGAGAGTCGGGGCATCAGACTCCTTCCCTTCCACTTCCTCCCAACTCTCCTTTGCCCCCAAAGGTCCTCAGATGCGAACCCCAGAGGTCCTCAGATGCCCCCAGATGCCTTAAATTGGGTTATTCTGCTCCCTGCCTCCCTTCTCCCCACAGAGCCCTGTCTGTTTCTCCTGTCGCACGATCCAGCCAGAAACTCCCCAGAGTGTGTTCCCAATCCTGTTCCCAGGCAGCAGTTCCCATGCTGTTGGCATCAGCACACATTTATTAATAAAATGAGCAAAATAACCAAATGCTTTGGCAACTCCTGAAGTTTGCCAGAAGCTCTCTGCGTGCCCAGTGGCACCAGGGGGTGTGGTTGGGCCCTGGAGAGGGAACCTGTGAGAAACCAACAGAGGACCTGTTTCTGATCACTGGTGAGACCTTCCAAAGCCCACCGGGACTGAATATGGCCCTGCGCCCTGTCACAATCTCCCAGCCTGGCCCCACCCTCTTAGCCTGGGTGGCTCTGGGGAAGAAAGCCATGACTGGGGCAGAGTGACCTGCAAATGGCTCTTGGAGGACCTTGCTCAAGAGAGCCCCCTCCTAGCCCTCCTCTTGGAGAGAGGCCAGACATTGGGCCCCTTCCCCCACCCAGGAGGCTGTGCCCTCCACACACACATCATCAGGCCTCCGGGACACCTGGACTGTCCCTTGCTGGGCTCAGGCCCAGGAACCTGGTTTGTTGCACGTTCTCCATTTACATGTGTTACGCCAGCACTCAGGAGCCACTAATGCAACCTTTATATTTGTTTTAATTTATTTTTTAAGGATTTATTTACTTATGCATACAAGAGCTGGGGTGCAGGCCAGAGGTGTGGGAGAGTGAGAGACAGAGACAGAGTGGGGAGTAGAACACGCAGATCCACTGAAATACACTGCTGAGGGGAGCAGTGGGAGAGACAGGAGAGGTCTGCTGCACCATGTGGGTTAGCCCCCTGGCCAGGGATCAAACTTGTGCTGCAGTGGCTGTGGAATGCTTCATAATGCTGAGACTAACCCCTTGTGCCACCAGGGAGGCTCTAATGCAAATTTTCAATTTTTACCCCCCCCCACCAGAATAAAACCCCCAAACTGGAGATGAAATGAAGAGAAGACAATTGTTCCTGCCTTTCAGGGCCTCTGTGGGGATTAAACCAGTGCATGGATGTGAATAATGCCCTAACCCACTAGCACTCACCGAGGCTGCCAGTGCACTCACTCAGTCCTCGTCACAACCAAGGTAGGTACACTATTAAGCCCATTTCACAGATGGGGAGACTGAAGCTTGATGTCAAGTAATTTTGGCTGCACAGTCGTGGGTGGATCCATGTGCACTGCTGGGACAGTGCCTGCAACATAACAAGTGCCAAGAAAGGGAGCTCACTGGGGTTCGCTGGGTCTCAGGGGTAAGAGAATTCACCAGGGACAGCATAGAAAGTAGAAAAGGCAGATTTATTGATTATCCTGCTAGAGATACAGGGGCCAAGATGAGAGTGTCTGCCCAGCAAGGGAAGTGTGAAGCAGTTTTTATTCTCTGAACTTGTGGGCTTTCTAAGATTTAGGACAGGTGTGTGCTAGCTTCTGTCTATTAAATGTCAGACTGATGAGTCCTGCATTTTCAGACTTGACATCGGCCTTTAATGGCCACAGGTGGTCTTTGTGGCCCTGTTTCAATAAAGCCACTTGGCTCCCTGCCCACGGTCTCCAGGCTAGTTCCCAGGGTAACTCTTCTGTTTTCCCCATAATGTTCAGAACTTCCTAATATCCCACAGTGTTTACTGCAGCATTATTTACCACTGATAAGATATAGAATCGATCTAGGTGTCCACATTGGATCAAAAAAATGGGGGCTAGCCACCCCATTCAGGTATCAGGAGACATGAAATGTTACCACTTACAGGTAGCGCTGACTTTAACCCCTGCACCACCAGGGAGGCCCCACAGTAGTTACTCACTCCAGGTAATGGCCTCAGGTGCACCCATGAGGCCCTGCCCTGTCCTCAGAGTGAAGACCGGTGACTTACCCAAGATCATCTAGCAGGTGGCAGAGTCAAATTCAAATACAGATCCTCCCCCTGCTTAAATGTTAGTGCTTTGGTATTTGTGATTTCCTTTAGACAGCCTGTCCCCTGTTTGACCCAAACCCCCACCTCCTGGGAACCCTGGAATTGCAATAATGAGTATGGAGTTTGAGCCTCTGCTTGCTGTGTGACCTTGGGCAACTTGCTTCGCCTCTCTGCTTTGGTTTTGCCATCTAGAAAAGAGGAAGAGTGATACTTCTGTAACTTTACTGGTCCATGTGAGAAACTGCATGTACACATCAGGGTCCTGGGAAGGCCTCAGTCTCATTCAGTTGCAGCTGAATCACTGGCCAGGGTTGTCGTCCTTGCTATTCCAGTTCTTTTTGATTGAACAATGAATCAAATGCCACGAGCAGCCACCTGTGCTCAGCTGGGCCCCGGGGTGCAGCAGGAGTTAAGGCGCACTGGAATCTGGCTGTCCACCTGCCCAAACATCTAACTTTGCCCTGCAGCCTGCCTCGGCCACCACCCAGCTGTCCTCACGCAGGCCTTCCCGAATGCAGGTCTCTCTGTCTCTCTCTCAAATGTCAAATCTTCCTTGTCTCTGAAATTCAGAGGAGAGCATCCCTCGTGGACCAGCCCTTTCTGCCCTTCTTCCTGTGGTTCCCCTCAGGATAAGCATGGTGTCTGCTCCATGGCATTGCTGTGAAAATTAAATGAAGCAATTCAGGCGAAGGGCTACTGCCAGCTCCTGGAATATAGGCAGACCTCAATAAATGATAATGATCTGATGATAATTATAAGGATGGAAATGTTATTAATTCCACTGATGGGATAAAGCTCTAGCTGATGACCTGCAGACTGCTTGAGACACAGGGCTAGTTGAACACTAAAAAAAATGTTTTTGGTGGACCTTTGCCTAGATTGGGGGTAGGGAGGAGAGGAGACAGCAGGAGGAGGATACAGAGGTAGGTCTTTGGCTGTGGTCACTTTTGGGGACATCTGCACATCGTGGGAGCCAAGACTCTGCTATCGACAGTGACACCTCCCTCCCCACCCCCGCAGGAGTGTGGCAGGATTGAACTGCATGACTGCCCGGAGCTGTGAGTGATTGGACTCAGGTTGGACATGTGCCCTACTGGAGGCCAGTGTGTGCTCTCCCGCCAACATTAGGCTTCGTGAAGAGAGGGAGAGGGAAGCCACGGCCATTCGGTTTGCACGTGGCTGGGCCAGAAGAGTAGACACGATTGCTCAGGAGGCCCTGGTCCCGGAGGATCGAGAGGTGATATGTGACAAGGAGGAAGAGGAACAAGCCAATAGGTAGAGAGGGGTGGAGAGGAGAGAGAATTGGTGCCCACAGCTCCCAGCTGCAATTCCAGTCTCCCCAGGACCTCGCCCTTCTTGCTAACCCACAAAGAGGAATCTGGAAGCCTCATAAATAAGTCCCCCTTTTTGCTGAACCCAATTTGCATGATTTTCTCTGGCTCAAAACTCGAGCCCGCCCAGCGCAGCCTTACTGCCATCCAGGCCAGGAAGCACCCGGATGTGGAGGTTGCCTCCATCCTCCAGGCGCCTCCATCAGAAAGGCTGGGAGAGAAGAGGAGCTGTGACAGGAGTATCTGGCGTCCCAGGACTCTGGGGACAGAACTGGGCTGTGACCCCAGAAGCCGCCAAGGTCCAGGGCTCCCCTCTTGCTCTCTGAGCACCAGGCAGGGGCTGGAGCTCACGCTAGCCCTGTCTGTCTAAAGCCGTTGTCTTGAACGTCTGAACACTTGCAGGCTAGGAGGCTGGAGCCTGCCCCACCTGCTTGGTGTTTATTCCACCCCTCCCACGCGTGATTGCTTTCTCCCCCTCGGGGAAGCTTTTCTGGATCTTCCCATCAGGACAAATTGTTCTCCTTCCCACTTTCTTGGAAGTTCCTCTGTGGAAGCCGTAGCCCTGCCCAAGCGAGCTGTCTGGGTACAAGGGCCCCCCACAGGCTTCAGAGGAAGGGGAGGTGGGTTCAAATCCCAGCACTCCCACCTGCTTCTGTTTCTGAGATGCAGGTGGAAATGGGGTGTTTCAAGGGACTTGTGATGCCGTCCACGCAGCGCACTCTGTGCCACCCTGGTGTTCAGTGAAATCTCAAAAAATGGTTGCTAGCCGAAGGTTTGTGTATGCAGGTCTGTCTTCCCCTCTGGGCCAGGAGGCTTCCAGAGGAGCGAAGAGAGCCATCCTGTGTCGACAGCCCCCCGCCCGCGGGGCCCGGCACCCAGGGAACAGCTGTTGGGTTCTTGGTATTGCTTTTGTTTCACATCAAGGGATTCATTTATTGATTTTATTTTTACAGGGGTGACGTTGGTTTACAACGCTCTATGTTATTTACGCGCGTAGGTTTACAGCTCTTCAGAAGTGTTGCCATAGGACAGCCCCCACCCAAGCACCCACAGTCCATTGGGCTCCCTCTCCCTTCCCTCCTCACAGCCTCCCCTCTGGTAATCTCATTCCGCTGTCAGATTTCTAGGGTTTGTTTGGTTTCCTTTTGTCCTTTTGTGTGTTTTACAATCACCCCACACAGCAGTGAAGTCATCTGGCATTTCTGCATTTTGGATCTACGCACTTCCAGTAGTATTCCCACGCCTGGTGGCAGGGCCATGTTCTGCCAGGCCCCAAGTGCGAATGTCTAGCCAAGCCCAGGCCTGTGGAGGCAGCCTGGCCTCGTGTCCCAACTCTCCACTGAGTGCTTTGCTGGGTGTGGGAGCTCCACACTCAAAGTTTCAGAGAAGACCGGGCCTTCCAGATACTCAGAATCACCAACCCAGATGACCCCAATCCGGGCCTCACGGCCTGTCTGCCCCAGTAGGACTCCGGCTTTGGCCAGGAGGTGGGTCTAGGCTGTGCATTAGTCTCCTCTGCAGCACCCCCACCCCCTCCAATTCCATCCTGACCCTGATTTTCAGCACAGGTTGCCCTTCAGTTGCAGAAGGAAGGGGTTTCTTTTAACAGTATATGGGGGTCAGGGGGTGGTTCTTCATGGCATGTCCTGAATTGACACTTGATCCACCTGAGCCTGATAGTTTCTCCTTCTGAGCCTTCCAAAGCGGTTCGCAAAAGCCAGCCAACCCCAATACAAGCCAGCCAGCCCTTGTATTCCCCACTGCACGTACCCTGTCCAAATGCTAGAACCTTCACATGAACTCCGGTCTCACCTTCCACCTGGGCCTCATCCCAACCCAGCACAGATGATGGTCCTTAATAAGTGTGAGGCTCAGCGTGCCAGAGGGGTCACACCCACCCACACCGCAGGGTCCTCACTGCCTCTGCCAAGCGCTCTGGTTCCATAATGCCCACCTGTGGTGTTGCCCTCAGCTAACCTGGGGCCAGCCAGCTGATTCTAGGGGGTGCCTTGAAGCAGAACCCGACACCAGCACATGTGTGCAGGGAGTTTATTTTGGCGCTGATCCCCGGGAGCAGAAATGAGGCCTTGACCTTAGAGGCGGAAAAGCCAGCATGTGGTTCATCATCAGGTCCCGCTGTGGGTGCTGGGGAGCAAGGTCACACCTTCCACCTGGGCCTCATCCCAACCCAGCACAGATGATGGTCCTTAATAAGTGTGAGGCTCAGCGTGCCAGAGGGGTCACACCCACCCACACCGCGGGGTCCTCACTGCCTCTGCCAAGCGCTCTGGTTCCATAATGCCCACCTGTGGTGTGACACAGAAACTTCCAAGCAGAGTACAGCAGGACCCTCGGACTTGTCAGCCGGATGACACACTGGCAGAAGCATTCACCCTTCAGCTCCTGTGCCCCGCTGCTCAAGATGTGCCCGGTGGAAGCCAACTTCCCTCATGTTCACACGCTGAGCCTGCTCCTGCCAGGAGCCCGTGCTGGGCACTGCACAAACTCCAAGGTAAAAATGGAAAGTGCTCGTGTTCACATGAGGTGGGATGCTGTCAGCACAAAGGGAGGTGAAGCTCGCGTGAAAGCGTTTGCTGCAGCCTGACTGGAAATAGAGGTGTAGCTGGTGCCTGCAGGCTGTGAACACCGGCTCTCTAGCCAGACAGTCTGGGTGCAGATCCTCTTGCTGTTCTTCATTTTCCTCCATCTATAAATGGGAAGTGCTGCGAGGGAAATACTTTATTGGGTTGTTTATGAGGGAAATGGTAAAATTCACATGAAGTGCTTCCAAACAGTGCTGGGCCCGTAACAAGCCTTTAGCGAGGGCGACTCCTCCTATTATTTCCATTTGATAGTTGAGGAAATGAGAAATGTACTTGGAAGAGGTGGAGACAGGAGGGAGAGGAGAAGGGAAACAGATTTCGCTTCTTGCAGAGAAACCTCAGCTTGCAACTCACAGGAAACCCTGGTGCTTCCCAGCGGAGGTCCTGTCCTCTGCTTCTGCGCCCACTTCCCCGTCACGTCGGGGGCCTTGGGAGGCAGAGCAGACGCTCGTTCTTCCCCTAAACACGCATTCCTGCTTCCTCTGCTCTAGCTAACCCGGTCGGTCGTAGGTTCCTAGTGATGTCACAGCTGGTTACTATGGAGACCAGGTTGCTGTGAATGTCAGTCGGGGTCCACGAGGAGTGCAGCGAGCAGCATCCCAGCCAGGCCCAGGGAGAGAAGACAGTGAGCACCCTGGGAGCCTCTTACACACCCCTCCCCGGCCACACACGAGCCCCCGCCCGCCCTGGCCCGCCTGCTCTAGTGAGATGTGGCAACACATGTCTGGGGGCAAACAGCCCCAGCAGCGAAGAGGAGGAAACACATCAGCTACTCTTCCTCCCACTCCCCACAGGGGAAAGGTACTGCTCCAGCTGGTGGTGCATCCCGAGCATCCCCATGGCAACACTGAGGTCACACCTCGGTGTGACCTCACGCTGGAGCCACTAAATGCAGACAGCCATCGTTGCCACCAAGGGAAATGGAAACACTGGGAAGAGGCACCCCAGAAACCAGCCCTCTTCCGGTGGGGGAATCCATCCCGGTCGTTTTCTGGCTGAAAGTGGGGCGAGAGGCTGCTGGGCCAGGGCCTGGTTTTTCACAGGAACAGTTGGGCTCTAGAAAAAGGTTTACTTGCCTGCCTCTGAGGCAGAGTCTCCCTGGAAAGGGCTCCTGTCACTTCCCAGGGGCCAGGCTGGTGGCTCATAGGGACAGGGGAAATAATCTGGGGGCATGGTGTACCCTCGGCCCATCTCTGGGCAAAGGGGAGATTTTAGAAAGGTGGAGGGACTCTTCCCCTGCCCTCGCCAAGACAAAGCCTGGCTTGAGGCAGCAGCCACATCCCTGCTGCCAGTGCAGCCCCTGCTGTCTGCATCCTAGGCCAGGCCTCTCCTTCCCAGCCCCTGGCCACCTGGTACACCTGCCTCTGGGACACACCTTCCGCCTTACATCTGCTGGACCCTCATTGGAAGCACTCCTGACCTTGACCACTTCCTCCCTTGACTGTCACTGTGGCCCTTCTTGCTGATGGGCAGTCAGGGCAGAAGGGACAGAAGTCACAGTTTTGTTTTGGAAGCCTAGCCCCTCAACACCCCTTTCTGAAAGTGTAATCCTGTCACACCCCTTCTTTGAGACTCTCATTTTCTCAGGCGGTTTTGAGGGTTGGGGGTTTCCATGATCCTGCCTGGACCCCTGGATGCCACTTCCTGCCCCAGGCCCTATACCTATGTTTGCACACCTAGCGTGTCATCTGGCGCTATACCTGGGCTCTTGCTGGCTGCCTGGTATGAGCCCCTTCTACCTGCTCCTTCCGGAGAGGAGAACCAGATGGGGCCACAGCTGCTCCGAGCTAGGATCTGAGATGGGCGTTTCCCACTATTTGATGAATTAGCATCACAAGCCTACAGGAGCCTTATCACTCATCCCATTTCAGGTATGAAGAAAATGGAGACCTACAGAAGTAAAATGACCCACCAATATCATACAGCAACCACAGCGACCCGCCTTGAAGCACTTCCCCTTGGTTGACTTTTATACTGAAATGCCTTACACACGTTATCTCAGCAGAGTTCCCATCAGCTCTGGGATCAACTTGCTTGAGTTTGAGTCCTGCCTCTGCCTCTTAAAAGCTGTCTGTGATATAATGTTATATGTCATTATAGTTCAATAAGCCCGAACAGAACCCAAAAAGCTGTGTGACCTTGGACAAGTAACTTAACCTCTCTGTGCCTCAGGGTCCTCATCTGTAACCCAAGATAGTCATAGTGCCTTCCACACAGGATTGCTGTGAAGATTGAAATAGGAATAAAAGTGCTTACAACACTGCCTGGCACAAAGCAAATGGCATGTAAACTAAAATTTAAAAAGAGGGTTCAGTGGAGATGAAGAAAGTCTCACACCATCTTTCTGGGCAGAGTACTCGTTAGTTGCATCTTAGTGGGTAAACAGGCTTACAGAGATAAGTTAATGTACCTGGGGTCACACAGCTTATGCCTAGCAGGGCTGAGATTAAAGTCTGACAAGGAAGTTGTGTGGGTTCCACCCTTTCTACAGAGGACAGCAGAGTCCTGCCAGGGGGCTAGAAAGGGTAAGTCTGTGGGGACTCGAAACAGGAGGGGGCAGCTCGGTGACTTAGGATTAAGCCTGGGCCATGGCTGGAGGATTCAGAGCTGGTGGAGGAGGCAGGATGGGGCTTGGCAGACACTTATAGCATCCCAGCATCCCAAATTCCTGCTCCAACTGAGTCAAGAAAAGGAAGTAGTGCTTGGCTGGACTTCAAGCAGACCTGTGCTCTACATCACCCTTCACAGCCCGGTGTTTCTTGCCTTGATGGAACTTGAGTCCTTGTAAATCTTTGAATTTTCTAGTCACTGGAGCGCAGCCCTGGGAAAGTCAGGAGCTGCTGCACTGGCCCGTTTCCTCCTCCGGACAGCCCGGGGGTCAAAGGGAAGTGGCTTCTCTTGGCCACTCCCAGACCCTGGGTCCCAGCGCTGCCTCCCACCTGCTGCCTCCCACCTGCTGCCTCCCACCAGCCTGAGGACCTTGGGCAAATCACTTTCCCTCACTGAGCTTCAGTCTCCTCGTCTGCAAAATGGGGACAATAACAGCACCCAACCTTCTACTGCTGTTTTGGGAGGGTGCAGTGAGATGTGTATATATATATATATATATATATATATATATATATAGAGAGAGAGAGAGAGAGAGAGAGAGAGAGAGAGAGAGAGAGAGAGAGAGAGAGAGA